TTGTTAGCAACAACAACTTTCACGTGCATCTGGTAACAGATAAATGGCAGATAAACTGTGCGCTATTTCAGTGTTGTTATGTGCTTATAAGAGAAGAAACTGTTAAATAAAGTCTTTATTTTTGTTTTCTTTGTGCACAAAAAGTATTCTCATAAAATTACGGTTGAACCACTGATGTCACATGGACTATTTTAACCATGTCCTCACTACCTTTCTGGGCCTTGAACATGTCAGTTGTGTTGCTGTCTATGGAGGGTCAGAAAGTTTTGAATTTCATCAAAAATATCTTAATTTGCATTCCGAAGATGAAATAAGGTCTTAAGGGTTTGACACAACATGAGGGTGAATAATTAATGACAGAATTTTCCTTTTTGAAAATGATCACGGAAAAAGATCCAAGGAAAATTTGCTTCCTCATTATTTAACCACTTTTAAAGACTATGTTGAGTTCCACAGGGCTCTGTACTCAGACCGAAGCTATTTTTTCAGTTACACCAGACTAGTTGGTTCTGTTGTCACATCATACATCTAATCCTTCATTACCACTGCTCACAGCATAGACAGCTCTTAACTTGTCTTTTTAATACCTTGAATGGCAATTTATAAGCTCATGTTTATCATTGAAAAGTCTTAGTCTTCCTTGATCTCAACCAAGCACTAGGTAATGTCTGCATTTCTGTTAAAGATCAAGGCCCGTATGTATAAACCTTCTCAGAAATGCTCTTAAGAATAGTCTTAAGCTTTGCCTTAAGTGTCAAAATATTCTTAGTAAAAATGATCACAAATTATTACCGATGCTTTGTTTTCTATTGGTATGTCTCGCCGTTTACAGCAATGATGTGAACATGAGTTCCATCAACGACTCCAGGAAAGCCCACAATCCTCATAAATGTGGCTTGTTTTTGCAATATGGTTTGGCGGTCAGTTGGAAATAGGTAGAACAAGGCATCAGTTTAATGACGGGTTTTGTCGCGTCGCGTCGAATCCAGTGTAGACAGCATCACTGATTATAATGATTCTACTGTATTAAAGCCTGTGTGTGTCCTATGCCTTAGCGGACAGCATGAAACCCACAAAAAATAAATAAATAACAGAGAGAATAATAATAATAATAACAGTTATTCTCTCTATGCTATTTTTCAATGTTTCAAGTGATGCAGGTGTTTTTTTTCCCCTGTAGGTTTTATAAATTAAAAAAGCATTAATTTTTCATAATGTTTATTTAAATTATTTGGTAGTCTGAGGTGGAATGGGGATTCGGGAAAGGGGGGCAGATTTTTTTTATAGGTTTAAAGGGGGGTGCGACCACAAAAATTTGAGAACGGCATATCTTGCTCTCGGCTTCACTCACTGTGTCTATACCGGACGCAACAGTTGTCGCGTCGCGCCGCAACAGCTCTACACTGGACTGTGCAAATCATTTTAACTTTGTGTCAGTACGTCATAAATAGAACAAGGCATCAGTTTAATGACGGGTTTTGTCGCGTCGCGTCGAATCCAGCGTAGACAGCATCACTGATTATAATGATTCTACTGTATTAAAGCCTGTGTGTGTCCTATGCCTTAGCAGACAGCATGAAACCCACAAAAAATAAATAAATAACAGAGAGAATAATAATAATAATAACAGTTATTCTCTCTATGCTATTTTTCAATGTTTCAAGTGATGCAGGTGTTTTTTTTCCCCTGTAGGTTTTATAAATTAAAAAAGCATTAATTTTTCATAATGTTTAGATTTTTTTATAAGTTTAAAGGGGGGCGCGACCAAAACAGTTTGAGAACCACTGGTCTAAAGTTAACAGACAGTGTTTAAAAAGTGCAGTGCACATGTTTACATATGTTTATTACAGTGACTTTGAATTACCTAAAGTAGTGTGGTAAAGCAACAGATTTGTTTTTATATTTCTGCAATCTACTTTAGTTTGTGTGATTTGTTACTGACTTTCATATTAATGTTTACACCAGGCTTATTTGTCAGTGCTTTATGTTGCCATAATTATTACATACTTACAAGGTTGGAAGTTCAACAAATCAGTCAATGTACTGTGATTGTAGTTGTTAAATAAAAACGTCATTCATATCTTCATGCATCACCTAATTTCATCGTAACATATAGGCCTGGCCTACAGAAAATAACATTTATGTTTAATCTATCTAATATTGTGTTGGTCATACTATACAATGATTTATAGCTTGTCTTTGTTGAATAATACAGAACATAAAGAGCTTTAAAAAATAATTGCATATTAAATCACAATATTGGCAAAAAAAAATCACAATTAGATTATTTTCCAAAATCGTTCAGCCCTAGTTGGAAAGTCAATAAACTGCCATATAGTAGTGGCCAAAAGTGATGTCCGGCCTATGAAATTTGACATCTTCACCATTAATAAAAATTTTAAAAAGTGCAAGATTTTGTAAGCATATTGCATAGTTGCTTAGTCAGTTGTTTTATTTGTGATAATAATGCAATGAAACATGCCAAATTGTGCGGTCACAGTTTTTGACCATGCTGTCATACAAAGAAATTATGAACACATGCAAAAACAAGAGGACCAATGAAATGTAAGTAACATATGTTATAGGGTATATGTTAGGTTATATGTATATGTTATATATGTTGGTGCTTTCACACCTGTAGATCGATTGCTTTGTTCCGAAACAGGGTTTAAAATTATTACAATGTTGCTTTTTATTCTTGGTGCGGTTTGCTTTCACACGGCAATGTTTCTAAACGGACCAAATGTGTTAATACAAGTCACGCGCGAGTAAACTGTTCTCTCATTGGTCAAAGTTTCACGGTTTATTTTCCGGGATTCCACTAGCTGTCAC